AGCTTTTGACACATTTAATTAGCAAAATGATCTTGTATGCTTTTTATTCAGTCATCCCCAGAATAAGCCAAGGCAAAGAGAGCATACAAGTGTTGAAAGTTTCTAGGCATTGAGCCTGTGTGGGAAAGCAGTTACACTGGAGAGTTTAGGGCAAGGCTTACTGCAAAGTGAGGTTCTCCAGCCCTAGGGGAAACTTACAAAGGAACAGAGAATATTACAGCTGTCTGACTTTCCGGTAGCACTACAAACTTTGCTAAAAACTGTCAGAAGGGGCAGTTAACACAGATGTTAAGGCAGCCCAACAGAGCAATTCTAGCAAAGTGGTTAGGAATTCATTAGCCTGGAGGGAGCTCAAATACAGCTTTGAAAGTCTGGAAGAAGCTGGAGCCCACATCACCACTCCAAAGAGGGATTACTAAACCCTGCCTTACAGTTTGATCTCATGCATATTAACTTGGAAGTAAAGTCTCATCACACTGAACAGCATTTATCTAATCAAAATAAGTGTGTTTTAGGACTGCAGCCTTTAGGTTCCTTACCTTCCCATAATGTTGGACAGTGTTCAGCTATCACGGAACTTGTCCACGTATGCAAAATAATATACAGGGAAATAGTCAAAGGTTAGGTTCACAGTCATTTTAGAAAGATGCACATCAGGGAGAGTGTGTAAACCTCTCACTGAAAGTACTGGAATTTCTGCTGATACAAGAGTCAAAGCAAAAAGGAAAAAAAAATGCTGCATAGTTTGGAAACATGGAGAATGCTTCACCTAGGAATGCCTCAGCTAATAAGGAAAGGGTGGACAAAAGTTGCAAGATAACAGAATATAAATGAAATAAATATAAATGAATAAATAAATACATATCAAAGTTTACACTTTGGTTCCAACTCTCTCACCAATGTCTCCTGCACTTGCAATTTTAGCTCTATGCAAAACACTTCTTCACAACAAAGAGCTAGAAAAAGAGAGTGAATTGAAGTAAAGAGAGAGGAAGGATTTTTATATTCCACTGGAATTATCTGGCTACAGTGAGGCAGGCAGGTTGGCTGCACAGTGCCACTGCAGCTATGCACATTTCTGTATCCAAAAACAGTGGGTTTTGGATACTCAAAATATTAAGGTAATTTACTAGTTAATTCCTGATCAGCCAAAAGCAGGGTTGGAAAAAAGTGGCACTTTTTTACCATGTAAAAAAAAGCAAGGGTTTTTGTTTTGTTTTGCTTAAACCAGGCGTTTTTAATTTAATTTTGTTTTACATACATTGAAATAAATAAATGAATAATTTATTTAATAAATAATGAATAATATCTTCCAATAAATACATTGGGAATAATCAATTTTAAATACATAAATTGAGAATAATAAACTTTTAAAAACCAGGAGGGCTTTTAGAAAAATCATTTGGTTTAAACCAGCCAACACTATACCAAAGCCATTTAACTTAAATTATTATATCTTTATAAGAGGCATTGCAATTGCCTTTGATCAATTCACAAATGAAAATAAACGTTTCATGCTACTTTCCACATCAGTTCTACATGCAAGAAATCTTGATGGAGAAATGGTAGCAACAAACTAAAGAATCCACAGATTCTGTTGTCTGTGAAAACAAGCTCTGAAGCAACTACCAGGGTGTAAAGCTACCAGTTGCAAAACGTAACCAATTCAGACAGTAGGAATAGGTGAGAACTAGGCTTATGTTATGTGTGAAGTCTGGACAGTAATCTCATTTTAGCATCCAGAAACAGAGTTGTTGTTTTTGCTTTCAAGCTTTCGAACATGGTGTTACTTTTCTAAAAATGCCCAGAAAAAACCCTCATTAAATACATTATTTTAAAGGTGGTCTGGCAAGCGATTTAGAACCATCCCACACAGTAAAGGATGACATTAAAAGAAGCATTTTATTTTATTTTATTTTGTCTAAAGCCAAGTCCCAGTTTACACAATATTTCCATCCTCCCACAAGTATATGGAAAATATATAACATGAGAACCAGGCAAATACCAATACAACATGTGAAGTTGGAATCCAATTTTTGTTGGGTTTTTTTTGTGGGTTTTTTGGGCTATGTGGCCATGTTCTAGAAAAGTTTATTCATGTAATTTCACCAGCATCTGTGACTGGCATCTTCAGAGAATGCATTCTGAAGATGCCAGCCACAGATGTTGGCAAAACGTCAGGAATAAACTCTTCTAGAACAGGCCACATAGCCCAAAAAACCCACAAAAAAAACACCAATACAACAAATAGGTATCTCTCTTTTCACTTTTCCCAGTCTCTACAGTTAATTACTAATTTGTTATCCACTATTGCAGTCCCAAGCATGGCTAGGACTTCCTAATGATAACTGAAAGAGTGCACAATTTATGCTCTTATACTGTTGGATTAGGGCTAAGGAGACCACAATTCAAATGCTCAGCCAAAAAACAAACAAAAGACAACTCATTGGACAACCTTGGGTCTGTCAAATTGTCTCCTCTGATCTGTCTCATAGGATTGTTGAGGATAGCAGAAAGCAAGTGGAGTGTGTATGCTGCTTTGACCCACCGAAAAAAAGATGGGTGAGAAAAAAGGCATGACTGAATCCAAACCAGGCTTTAGTTATCTGTGTGACAAGCCATACAATCACAGCATTGCATTCTGTATTAAACCAGGTGAAACTCACAATTCCATACATTCCTCTATATTCTACTCAGAGATAAATCTCAACAAGTTCAATGTGGCTTATCAGAATCCCAACTTCATCTACAACCAGGAGCTGGAATCCTGCAGCCTTCCAGATATCGCTGAATGGCAACCTCTAGCATTCTGCTGGGAGTTGATGTCTAACTGCATCTGGAAAAGTTTCCACCCTGATTTAAAGGGAACAAAACACCATTCTTTCCCATTTCATTGGATCACCACAACAGGGTGATTACAGGGAACTAAAAGGGTAGTTAGTCTCGCTTAAGTGATATTTGTCAGGAAGGTGATTTATTGGCTTATGATCAGGGTTTGCTCCATCGACATAGATCTTTGTTAGGCCCACTATTATTGGCCATTATCCTTCCTTTGCACTCCTTATCCTAGTGACTGTTTGCCCTGGCAACTTTAAGAAAAGATGGGTGGATTGGCACCTCTGGATAGGTCCTGCCTGTGTTAAAAGGAAGAGCTGTACATTCAAGACAACAATCCTGAATGAATGAAAGACGCTATTCCAGTACTAATCTATTTACACAGCCTCCTAGCTTCTTTCAAATTATCCAGATATCTTACATAAAAAAAAGAGGGGGGGGGAATATGCCACTAGTGCAGCTCTCAATATATTGACTGCAACTCCCAGCAGCTATAGGCAGTACAGCTGATAGCGAAGAATGCAAGGAGCTGCAGTCCAGCAACATCAGGAAGACTGCATGATACCCATTCCTCACTAGGATATAAAAATAAGTAAAAAGCTCGGCCTCTTTCACACTACACATAACACTGGGATCTCCATTTTAACTTTCATGGTTGCATCTTGTGGAACTCTCTTGGGGTTTGATAGCTTTGTCAGAATTCCAGTGTCATGGCAGCTAAAGTGGAATCATAGTGCTATAACTGTTTAGTGCGAAAAGGGCAATGACAAGTCTATAAATCCAATAAAACATACTGAATGGAATAAAATCAAAGCAAAAGTTTATAAGCCTGGTAAAAGAAAAGGATATTTGCCTGGCAACAAAAAGTCTGAAAGCAGGCACCAAGTGATTCACTCAAGAGTCAGGGTTCCCATTTCCAAAAGTCCTCTTTCCTCATAACCACCCACACTGTCTCTGGCAGAGCCTAGAAAACTCACTTTTATGGATTGAAACTCCTAGAATCCTCCCAAGAGTAATCCAAAAAAGTGTCTTTTCCAAACTCTGTTGGATGATGGTCTCTGAAGACTAGTGATGTTGAAACACTGCAGCAGCCACATCTTTGGGCCAAGCCATTTATGTGAATAGCCTGAGTTAGAAAACCAAAATCTAAGCTTTCCCCCTTCAGAATATTTGGTATCTCAAGTAGTGTACCATGTCTGTAAAGTCTTGTCTCTCCCAGTACAATGGCTTCTGTGAAGTGAAGACAGAAGAGAAGTGAGAAATGTTTTGTTTTTTGTTTTTGCTCTCCTTACACCTCCTTCCCACCCCTTTTTGGATTTTCTTCTTCTCCTCATCTAAGTATGGATTTTAAAGAAAGAAGTATGAGCAGGGGAAAGACAAATTGCTTGTTAGGTCAACAAGAGACTTGGCCACTGCCTCAAACTTTCCAACTTGGACAGGCTGCAACAGATGTTAAAGCCATAAGCAAAAAACCGATGTGAAAGAAATGAATCATCTGTAGTCTCACTCCTGCAGTGACTTTGTATCTTGCCAGAAGTACAAGGGGAAATAAACAGGATCCTCCCTGCACTGACGGAGTGAAAAACCTGGATTTGTGGTCGTTCTTTCATAGTCAACTAATAATCAGCTCATTGCTAACAAGGCAGCTATTGGCATCGCATAACATTACACTTATTTAATATATCTCCAGGGTTTCATACAGGATGGATTGGGTAACAACTCGTATCCTAGTCAGATGCAATATTCTGCTAGTTCCATTGAAAAAAAAAAGGCCTCTTGTCTAATATCCTCTCTTCAACTGGCTCACACCTCCACTAAAACTCAATGTAAACTGATGACACAACAGACTGACACCCCTCATCCATCCCACTGACTGACAAATAGAGATCCGTACCTACCTACAAGCCGGAGCTGTTCTCCAGGAAGCAGCAAATCTTTGCTCTGGCCTCACAGGAATGCACTCCCCAAAAATGTGCACCATACTACTGCTTTGCCCTTTGTTGTTGTGCCTTCAACTCATTTCCAAATTATGACGACCCTAAGGCTAACTTATCATTACTTTTCATGGCAAGATTTGTTTTGAGGAGGTTTGCCCTTACCTTCTGAGGAGGTTTGCCCTGAGGTTGAGGGCATATGACTTGCCCAAGGTCACCCAGTGGGTTTCACTGCTGAGCAGGGGTTCCAACCCTGGTCTCTAGAGTCATAGCCCAACACTCATACCGCTATACCACACTGCTTTGTTCTACCTCCCTATTATTATGGAAGACTGAGGAACAGGGCTCAAGAAGAGCTGAAGCATCATCTTGGCACAGGAAGTTGGAGGTTCCATTCTGACAATGGTACTGAAGCGGTTACTATAATATTTCCTGAGCATGCTAAATCCAGTCTTCCACCAAAGTATCAAACTGGATGTGTACGATGATCACCCATTAACACAACTCTCCAGACATTCAATGACAGTGAATTATCCATAATGCCAAGTCTGTGTTTGACTGTGAAACAACAGCTTAGTTATAAGGGGGGGGGGGGCATATGCTACATACTGCATACTGATAATTTACACACATGCAGAGAGTGCGAGAGAAAATGAGAATGCATGAGAATCCTGCTACAGACATCACCATAGCCATCGTTTTCAGCTCCCGGCTGATTTTTCCCAAGGATCAATGGCCCTTCACAGAAAAATGGTTCCCTTCACTTGAACTAATATGTTTTATTTGTGATGGATGCTCCTCCATGCAAATCACCATTTCATATTTTGCCATTATCTAGCAATGAATGTGGATGTGTCAAACCACTTCATGTCCATGCAATGTAGTTAGGATACAGCATGAGCATATACAGTGGGCCCTTGGTATCCTCTGGGGTTTTGTTCCAGGACCCCCCCCCCTCCCCATGGACCCCAAGTCCTATACAATGGCATAGTAAAAATGTGTCCTTTGTAAAAATGGCAAAATCAAAGTTTGCCCTTTGGAGTTTTTTCTTATTATTATTCTCAAGCTGTGTATGGTAGAATCCATGGCTGCAGAATCTGTGGATAAGGAAGGCCAACTGTATACTCAGTTATTATCTTCTTATATGTCTTTACTATACTTACTACAGAAAAAGAATCAGGTTCTAACATCCTCTTGAGCCTATAGCGAAAGATGTTGTGCGGTCACACTGTCCAATACATATTCCCATGGGTTCTATTTTTGCAAAATCCCACCTCAGCTTTCCTTAGGAGTCCACAAACCATGAAAACACAAATCTTTTAGCACTGATATAAATAAAAACAGCCAAAAGATACACTTAAGATTTGGGTGGAGTAGCAGTCCCTTCAATCAGAGGAGTTAAGAATGATTATATGAAAAAGTCTGTAGGAAAGGTAAATAATTGGTGGCCTTTCACTTGAGAGAGTGAAGATGGATGTGAGAGTTCTTGAATGTGTGAATTAAATGTGTGAATTACAAGATAGCAAGATGTTAGTAAGACAGACAATACAGACAGTATGTTCCCTACAATGAGAGAACTCCACAATTTCTTCCAAACAAACAAACAAACTCAGAAAGCAACATGAAAAGTGATTCAATGGGCCTGATTAGAAGAGTCAGAATATTTTTGTAAGAGCAGGGATGGTAAAAATAGCAGCAATAGGGAAGGGTGTGGTGGACTGGAGAAATCACAAGCAGTGTGAGGATAAAAAGAAAGGACTATAGACAGACTACAAATGTGGGCCTTGTCTGAACAAATCTTTCCAAGAAAACTGCATGATAGGGTCACCTTAACTTGGAAATGACTTGAAGGCACACAACAACAGCAGCAACAACAACAGGCCCATCTTCCTCTGGAGGGCTGGTTTTCTATAAGGAGGACATGCTACTGGAATTCTCCCATGAGTCCCTCCCTGCAGTCTATAGTGCCATACCCCAAATACAGGCTTACCATCAAAGGAGAATCTGCATCAATGCAGAGAGAGGAGTGCAGGGTTGAAACACTCTAAGGTCCCAGGCACAAAGACATGCCAATGGTTCCCTTTGCTTGCAACAAAACTTAGTAACTATTACCGGCTGCAGTGCCACTTATCTTTGCAGCTTTCAAATTGGTCTGTGTCAATTTCACATTACATGCATGCCCAGAAACATCGTGCTCACCCTAGAGTCTGAACAGTCATAAGAATACCACAGTCTGCCCAAGTTACCTGTGGTGCAGGTCCTTTGATCCTTGGGACTGGCATACCACTCAGGGGATGCTCTGTCTGGTAGAAGGAACAAGGGCTGCCACAAGTTCCCCTTCTCACATCAGCTCCACAAGGTTAAGAGGCATGTGGAACAATATGAGAAAATGGCATGGGAAGTGGGGAAATTTTGCTTTCGAGCCCCTAGTTCTACCAGTGAGGACCTCCACTAAATCAATCTGTTTCTGTAAATGTAAATGAGAAGGGACACTTTAGGCTCCAAGCCTCTGTTTTATGTCTGTATTCCTTCATTAACATTTGCTTTCATTTTTCAAATCTTCTATGGTTCATTTTAGATGACAAATGAACAAACACACAGAACTACACTTGAACTAATATTGTTTTATTTGTGAAGGATGCTCCTCCTTGCAAATCACCAGTTTGCCATTATCTAGCAATGAATGTGGATGTGTCAAGCAGTTAGGATACAGCATGAGTGGCCCTTGGTATCCACTGGGGTTTTGTTCTAGAACCCCCCTCCCCATGGATCCAAAAATCAAACACACAGACCCCTTGTCCAGTTTTATGGTCTACCAAAGCTCTCTTGCATTCCCACCACCATGAGAAAATGTCATTTTACCTTTAACAGTGAAATTTCTTTCCCCTTTCAAACAAGGTGCCTCATTCCCCAAACGCCTTGTTAGCAAGCAGATTTGGGACAGAGAAAGCCTCTCCAAAATGCTAGTTTGGGATGTAATAATAATAATAATAATAATAATAAAACTTATTTGTATACCGCCCAATGGTTTCCCAATCCGGGCGGTTAACAACATAAAACCAGTACAAAAACACATCCCTCCCACCCTTAAAACAGCATTAAACAATTTCAATTTAAAATCAAATAACAGCAGTATAAAAATCAATTAATTACAGTTTTGACAACCCCTTGAGATATTTCTGTTTTCCTCAGCGGGGGAACCAGGTACCACAGGATGAATATAGGATATAAAATATAGAATCACCCAAGGCTAATTATCTAGTCTGGAAAGGCCTACCAGAAGAGATCCATCTTTATAGCTTTTTAAAAGCTATCCAAAGATGTTAGCTGATGGATCTCGTCCAGCAGGTCGTTCCAGAGCTTGGGGGCAAATACAGAAAAAGCCCTC